TAAAATGGAATTTGAGGGAATTGCTGCTCTCTGCCTGCTCCTGTCAGCCCATCCAGAAGGACCAGCAACCCTGAGAGAAGGAGAAGCCTTCAGAAGTCGATTTGCTTTTCATTTCAAGGTTGGGCCATGGCCAATGTCTGCTTTCGGAGGAGCTGTTTGAAATTCTTAACAAGAAGCAGAATGCTTGAGTCCAGGAATCCAGGGCAGGCTTGTGAAGTAGGGATGGGGAAATGGAATTGTCATTTTATCTCTGAAGGGATATTATATTAAACGAAGAGGGGAGGGGGGACACAGAGACGCTTTGCAGCTTCCCCGGAGGACTGAACAATAAGAAATGTGAAGGGCAGCAGGAGGAACTGAGATGAGAACAAAGAATGAACTTCCCAGGCCGAGAATCAGTGACCAGGGAGATTGGAAGCATCTGCCTCCCTGGGGGGACTTTTCCTTCTTTTACGAATTATGAATGGAAGCACAATTTCTATAGAATATGGGACCTAATGAGCAATAAGCTCAATTACTTCGCCAAGTTCTCTTTAGATCTAACCCAAGGCTGTGATCATGTCTGTTTGTGGTGGGCTTCTCTTTCTCAGTATTAGTTCACATACAAATTGCTACACAGTATTCCATTGTGCCAGAGTTCCTTCTGTTATTCCCAGTTGTTGGGCTGTTTCCTTTATTTTTTTTTTAATATTATAAAAGCACAGATATGAATGTCTTCATACAAATGCCTTTTCTTCCCCCTGGGATGTCAGTCTCTAAGGAGTTTCCAGATCAGAAGGTTTGAACCCTTTGGGGCTAGCAGGCAGCATGGTGGTTAAGGGTGCTAGACTCCCACATGGCTGACTGCGGTTCGAGTCCCAGACCTGGCGGCTTGCTTTCTCACTTTTCTTCTCTCTCTCTTTTACTCTGTCCCTCTCCGGTCAAATTAAAAATAAATAAATAAATAAAGTTAAATAAAATAACTTTTTTTTTGGAGAGGTTTTTGCTATAGGGTGCGTGCGCTCACCAGACAGACAGAGAGAGACAGAGAGACAGAAAGTGAGAAATCACCCCCCAGGGGGGATGGTCACACCACAGTCCCTTCTCCATTCTCCTCTCGGGATCTTGGGCACACACGCACACACGCCCGGCGTGAGTTTAAGCTACCGGGTCCAGTACTCGAACCGTGGTCGACTACATGGGAGTCCAGCGGCATAGCCATTACGCTAACTGCTGGTTCCTCTTTTTTTTTTTTTTTTTTAAGAAACAGGTTTGAACCTTTTTACTCTCATCATCAGCACCCTCCAGAAGACCTAGACGAACCAATGGCAACCCTACACTCTCTGGCCCACCACACTGATGAACTAAGGTTTTATCATTTTTATTTATTTTTGCTCATTTTATAGGCACCTCTAGTACTTTAAAGTTATTTAATTCCCATTTCTTTCATTGCTAGTGAGACTGGGCACACGTCCACGTGTGGATTTATGGTCTCCTTTCCTACGTGTAAACAGTTCACCTCCTCTGACAACTTACCAACAGGAACCTGGGGGCCGGCCTCATATCCCTACCTCAAGCCTCTGCACACTAACGGTCTATCTGTCTTGGTCATGGCTGCCATCGTTCCTCTAAGGCAGCTGTCCCGTGTTGGGAGGGGGTGCTATCTTGTCTCCCATGTAGGGAGGGAGTGGCACGGACTTGAGATGACGTTTGGATTCAAGATTTTTCTTTTCCCAGGACAAAACACCAATTGGATGGCACTTCATCTGCTGGGCCCCTATTTTCCTAGGAAAATAGGGCTGAGAAGACAGCTAGTTTTTTGTTGTTGTGTTTTTTTTTTTTTTGCCATAGGATGATGTATGTGCTGGCCTGAGGGACAGAGAGATGGAGACAGTGATAGGGAAAGTGAGAAATCACCCCCTAGGGAGGGATGGCCCCATCACAATCCCTTTCCCTCCGTTCTCCTGGAATTTGAGGCACACACACACATGCCAGTGTGAGTTTCAAGCTACAGGTCTGGGATTTGAACCATGGTCGGCTATGTGGAGTCCAGTGCCTTAACCACCACACGGCCCACTATTTCCGAGGACAGCTAATTGCAAGGCCACTCTGGCAGATTATCTGTGGAATGAGAAACCTTGGGGGTCAGTGGGCTCCCAGACTGAGTCATACGGGTCATCCCTGCAGTCACGTGGACTTCCCAGATCGTTGTTTTTTCCACTCGCAGTATGGCCGTGAGAGGAACAGAAAGATACTGTAATCAGAATCATCGCAAGTTTTGACTGACCCTCAGAATAGTGTGGTAGTTCACGAAATGTGTTCTGGATCAAACAGACCTAGGCTCATGTCTGTGTGTCTATGACTACCAGGCAAGTGGCTTTGGGCAAGTCATAAACTCTCCAAGCCTCAATGTCTTTGGCCGTTAGTGGCATTTTGGTCATGTGTAAAAAAACTACCCAACAATTAGTGACTGAAAACAACCGATTTTTTTTTTTTTTTTTTTTTTTTTGAGAGGTTTTTGCTATAGGGTGCTTGCAGTTACCAGAACGACAGAGAGAGCCAGAGAGACAGAAAGTGAGAAATCACCCCCCAGGGGGGATGGCCATGCCACAATCCCTTCTCCTCCATTCTCCTCTCAGGATCTTGGGCACGCACGCACACGCGCCCAGCATGAGCTTAAACCACTGGGTCCGGTACTCAAACTGCGGTCGACTACACGGAAGTCTAGCGACATAGCCATGACATCAACTGCTGGTCCCTGAAAACAACCATTTTATTCTGTCTACCAATCTGATGGATAAGGAATTCGGGTAGGGTGTGGCTGGGTGATCCTTCTGTGCCAATGTGGTAGTAACTGGATCACTTAGTGGCATTTGGTGGCTGAACTGGGCTGTAGAGTCTAATACAGCATCACTCTTGTCTGGCTCTCCATGTAGCCTGGGCCTCCTCCACATGGTCTCTGCCCCAGGGTGACTGGACTTCTTTTTTTTTTTTCCCAGAGAGATTTTTGTTACAGGGCAATATACTCACCAGAGAGACAGACAGACGGAAAACAAGAAATCACTCCCCCATGGGGGTGGGGGATGGCCATGCCACAATCCCTCCTCCTCCATTCTCCTTTTGGGATTTTGGGCACGCACACACATGTGCCCGGTGTGAGTTTTAAGCCATCGGGTCTGGGACTTGAACCATGGTCAACCTCATGGTCAACCATGGTCCAGCAATGTAACCATGATGCCATCCGCTGGTCCCTCAGGGTGGCTGGACTTTTAACCTGGTGACTCAGGACTCCATGAATGAGCACTCCAAGACAAAAAGAGGAAGATGCCCGTCTCTTAAGGTTTGGGCTCGCATATGGCACAGTGTCACTTCTGCTGCATTGGTCAAGTAGTCACAGTGATGGGAGGAGTGATAAAGAATTTGAGGCCATCATTACTCTGCCAAAAGTAGGGATATAAATACTTACCCCTAAGGCTGTGAGGATTAAGTGAGATAATGCATACACAGGCAGATTTACTGAGAAGCTAATGAAACTTTAACCACAGGGCTCCTTAATTGCAAGGCCTCTTCCAAGTTCTGGCACCAAATTTTGTATTTATAATTCCCCTTTTCTTTTCTTTTAAAGAGGATCTCCTGGAGAAAAATGAGGCCCTGAACATCCTGGCCGCGTGCCAATGCTATCACTGTGCTTACTTAGCACATCGCGGGGCACCAGGAGCTCAGCACACCCTGTCCCTCTGTGCACTATCTGGTGCCTGTTCCCTCCCCGCGCCTGAGCAAAGGTCCCTCTTCTTACTCTGTCCTTCCGTTTTTTTCAGAATCATTTCTCCCTCTCCTTTGTTTTGGAGAGGTTTTTGCTATTGGGTACGTGCGCTCGCCAGAAAGAGAGAGACATAGAGACAGAAAGCGAGAAATCACCCCCTATGGGGGATGGCCACGCCGCAATCCCTTCTCCTCCATTCTCCTCTCGGGATCTTGGGCACCCATGCACATGTGCCCGGTGTGTGTTTAAGCCACCGGGTCCAAGGTTCGAGCTGTGGTCGACTACATGGGAGTCCAGTGACATAGCCATTACGCTAACTGCTGGTCCCTTCTTCCTCTCCTTTTCTAAAAAAATGAAAGCAAAACGTGCTGAGAATAATTTCATAATCACAAAACTGTCCTCCCAATTGGCCCAGTTGGCTTCTGCATCTACCCCTGGCCTCACCACCCACCAGGGGGGTGGGCCTTACCCTGGGCATTGTGCCCAGTTCTTAGCTTGGTCCTCTAGCATCTCTGAAAGAAATCAGGCTGAGGAGAGGAAAGCCAGTAGGGGGAGGCAGCATTCCCAGTGCCCTGAGCTTGGTCTAGGAGGCATTGAAATTCCAGGGCCGATGTCCTGAGACAAAGATCATAATGAGACAGGAAGGTGGCATAGGAAGGAGCCCATTTGCATGACAATAATTGAACCAAGAATAGAAAGCTAGAGGGATGCAAGGGTGAGGCTGGCAGCTGAGCTGGGCGAAACCTCACAAATCAGGCTTTCCAGCTCGGCTCTGCAGGGCAGGCAGAGGCTGAGCCCTGTGCCAGGCCTTGGGGGAAGGGAGAGCGTGGGGAGAAGGACACGGCCTCAGGGGATTGTGGGAATGCTAGCCAGGCTGGACTTTGCCTTCCTCCTCCTCCAGCCAGAGCTTGGCTTTGCTCTCTGCCCCTTTGTGGCTCTGCGCAGAGCTAAGTGGACACCATGGCTGCTCAGAATGGTCTCTGGGACACCATTGTGATCGGAGCAGGCATCCAGGGCTGCTTCACCGCGTACCACCTGGCTAGCCACGGGAAGACGGTCCTCCTACTGGAGCAGGTACTGTGTCCCTTCTGCACTCCTGACCTCTGGCCATTCCTGGAGAGGTGTTTCCAGAGCCAGCAGGCTAGAGAGCTAGGCCAAAACGCCAGAATTATCATGCACCTTGTGCAGTCCGTAGCTCCACTGCCTGGCATGTTTCATCGCAATTCAGAGAAAGTTCTGCTCTCCCTCGGACCCACCCTGGGTTCCTAGGCACAGTGTCCTCCTTTTGCTGCCTTCCTGTTCCTGCCCTTGACCAAAGAGTATCCCAGGCCCTGTTCTCTCCTTTCTTTCCAGCCTCTTCTCTGTCTACAGAGTTGATCCAGGCCAGAAAAACAATCAGTTCTGTTCTGGGGAAACTTAAGTAAAGATAATTTAGCCTAGAGGCAAAGTTTTTTTTTTTTTTTTTTTTTTTTTTTTTTTTTTTTTTTTAAATAAGCCTAAGAAGTAGAATTTTTCCTTACAGGTTCCTGACCTCTCTCCACAGAACCCAGCAGAATCCTCTTTTAAGCTACCTCTGGATAATAATAGCCTCTTTGTTTGATACACAGGAAGTAAACTTAGGTCCTACTTTTCCTTTTTTCTTTTTCTTTTTTTAATGTTTTGCCATAGGGTGCACGTGCTTGCCAGAGAGAGACAAGAGAGACAGAGAGAGAGAGGAAAAATGAGAAATCACTCCCCAGAGGAGGGTGGCCATGCGGCAAGCTCTTCTGTTCCACTCTCAGGATTTTGGCCACGCATGCGCACATGCCCAGTATGATTTTCAAGTCACTGGATCTGGGACTTGAACCATGATTGGTCATGTGGGAGTCTAGTGCCTTAACCACCATGCCACCTGCTGGCATGTAAGTAACTAATTAACTTTTTTAATTGCCAGAGAGTACATATGCTTGCCAGAGAGAGACGTAGAGCGAGGGAGAGGGAGAGAGCACCCTCTGATGGAGCATGGTCACGTTGCAATCCTTTCTTTATCATCTCTCCATCCTGTCGGGGCTTTGAACATACACACACATGCACCAGGCATGTTCCCAGGCTGCTGGGGCTGGGACTCAAACTTCAGTCGGCCGTGGGGATCTAGTTCCCTTAGCCACTAGGCCACAGAGCTGGCCCAGGTCTTACCTTTCTTTCTTTTTTTGAAAAGAGATTTTTGCCTTAGGGCATATGTGCCCGCTGGGAAGAGAGAGAGAGAGAGAGTGAGAGGGAAAGTGAGAAATCACCCCCCAGGGGGATGGCCACGCCATCCCCCTTCTCCCCATTCTCCTCCCAGGATCTTGAACACACATGCACATGTGCCTACCATGATTTTGAAGCCACCAAGTCCAGGACTCGAACCATTGGCCTCGTGGGAGTGGAATGATGTAACCACTATGCCATCTGCTGGCTCTGGACTTATTTTCTTTAAAGAAAAGTTGGCCTAGGCTGGCAGGTGGCATAGTGGTTGAGCTGCTGGACTCCCACATGGTTGACCACGGTTTGAGGCCCAGATCTGGTGGCTTACTTTCTCACTTTCCCTCACTCTCTTCCTGGTCAACTTTAAAACATAAGAATAATAGGGACCAGCAGATGGTGTAATGGTTACGTCGCTGGACTCTCATGTAGTTGACCACGGTTCGAGTCCTGGACCAGAGGTTTTACACTCATGCCAGGCGCTTGTGTGTGTGTGCCCAAGATTCTAAGGGGAGAATGGAGAAGGGATTTCTCACTTTCTGTCTCTCTCTTTCTCTTTGGTGAGCACACACACCCTATAGCAAATATATCTTTTTAAAAAATAAAAAATACAATTTGATAAATAATTCTTAGAAAAAGTCATCCATGCAGTGCAGGCGGCAGTGACTGCTCCAGTGACTGTGGGTGGGCCCTGCATATCCTTCCAAGGGCAGGTCTACTGAACCCCCATCCGAAACATTCCTACCGCGGTGGACTCTCCTTTTCCAGTCTGCCTGCCACTGGCCAGGCTAGTTATGGCTTTCTCTGCTAGGTAAGGAGCTGCCGAGGTTAGAAACCTCCTCTGTTTCTCTATCCATTTTCTCCAAGCCCCAGGATACCTGGTTCATCCTTTCAAAAAATGTTCCATCTTTTGATCCATCCCAAGGTGGTTCCTTTATCCTGAGTGATGTGGAGGAAAATAAAGTCAACATCCATTTCCTTCTCCATCAAAGGAGGAAGCTAGGCTACAATAATCTGGAAGGTTCTTTCTCATTCTGTTTCTCTGAAAGTTTCAGTGGGGTAAGACTGCAGCAGAATGACCCAAGAGTGGCTCACAAAGGAACTTCTGGGTGAGAATGACGTTAGCAAGGACGCCTAAGTGACTATTTCTGAAGAGCTTCCATCTCGAATGCCACGTTTGTAAACTGGCCGTGAAGGGAGATTTTGGAAAGATGGTGTGGGAATATTTGAGGGGTGATCCATGGCTCCTGGTTGACAGCACACAAGGAGAGCCTAATGGGGAGCAGTAGAAGGGCCAAAGACTTCCACTCCAGCTCTTGTTCTCCACTTCCAGTTCTTTCTACCACACTCCCGAGGAAGCTCCCATGGACAGAGCCGGATAATACGAAAGGCATACGCTGAAGACTTTTACGCCCACATGATGGACGAGTGCTATCGGATATGGGCCCAGCTAGAGCACGAGGCTGGGACCCAATTGTACAGGTGAGCAGGAGGAGGAATTCCTTGAGTCCTGTGGCCCCACACCTGGAGACGTTCAGCATGTGAGGTGCTGGTGCCACGAACGCTGGGAAGGCACAGGCGGGGGGGACACGAGTCCTGGGGAACCCCTGGATACACGGGAAGCATTCTGCTCCTTGCCATTCTGGTCACCTGCAGGTCCAGCAGACTCCTGCCAGGTTCTGAGTTCTGTGCCTGAGTTCAGGCCACGAGTCCTAGGCTAGGAGAGGCCATGCTGGAAGAACTGCTGGAGATACTATGGGTGATCCAGAGCTGGGCAGACCCAGGAGGAATCTGTGCCTATGAGACTCTTTTAGGACAGGGGTAGAAATGGAAGAGGAGGCTGGATGTTTTTGTTTGTTTATTTACTTATTTTTTACGTTTCTTTTCTTCCATAATTGAGAGCGAAAAGAGGTACCCCCCATAGAGTCTTCATGCCATGATTCATCCCAACTTCAGCCATCCCAGATCATGGGCACATGTATGCCCAGCATGCTCAGCATGACCCACTCTGGAACTTTCCATGTGGGTCAGCCTTGCAGAATGTTGCATTACCACTGCACCACTGTCTGGCCACCTTGATTTTTTATATTCCTGAAAGGTACTTTAAAAAAATATATTATTTATTTAATTTTATTGATTTATTCATTCACTCATTTTATTTATATTTTAAAAATTAATTCATTAATTAATTTAATTTGATGAGAAAGATTGAGAGAGAAAGCAAGCCGCCAGGTCCAGAACTCAAACCACGGTCGGGCATGTGGGAGTCCAGCACCCTTAGCCACCATGCCACCTGCCAGCCCTCATTCATTCATTTTAATTTTGACCAGAGAGAGACAGAAACAGAAAGGGGGAGAGTGAGAAAGCAAGACACCAAGTCCAGGACTCAAACCATGGTTGGCCATGTAGGCATGTCCAGTCCCTCAACCACCAGGTCACCTGCTGGCCCCTCCTGCTAGTACTGTAACTTTTCATGTGGAATCCTCACCCCCATAGCAACTTTGTAAATCCATTTCATTCTCTTTGAACACCCTCTCCTTAGGGACAAATGGGAGTGCTCCTCAGTCCAGATCACGTTCCCAGGAAGGAGCCTGCGAAGAAGGAGCCTGTGGCTCTTTCCC